AAGAGAGAGGATGTTGATGTCACGCTGATGTGGACAGGTTACTCACCATTACTGACCCTAAGGTTACTGACCTGATTTGGACCCAGATTACAGCTATACATCTGATACACGGGAAGACAAAAAAGATACCAGAGCAGTTCAAGTATCCTTACCATGCATGAAGAAATAATTTAGCAATAGTGGTGTAGCAAGGATTTCATGTAGGGTGGGTCCGATGTAATAAAAAACAAAAATAAATATATATCTAATTAATGTTTATTGAAAAGATTCTAAAATACATTTATCATCCAAACTATCTAGAATGTCACTCTCATCGTTCAACACTTCATCAATCATTCGACTCCGCAATGTGTCCTTCACATAGTTCATTGCATAAAATACTCTTTCAACAGTTGCAGTGGTGACTGGTAGCAACATCGCCAATTTCAGAAGCTGATACACAAATGGAATTGACCAGAACTTCTTCGACACAACCATTTCCCAAGAAAGCTCAGTCATTCCTTTTAATTTAGTGCATCTCTTATTTGTCTTCACATCAAAGATATAACTATTTAGTTGAGTATCTAAATGCAAAATATCATCATTAGAGAATTCATTAGGATAAAAGGCAGCAAGCTTTAATAGTTTTTCCTTGTCGAAGTCAACAAACTCATCATTCGAATTTAAGCAAGTCACACAACATAGCAATTCAATGTTCACCTCATCAAAATGATTGTTAAACTCTTGTAACGGCATATCCACAACTGTGTAAAATAACTCAACCTTGTAATGATGCATATTGGTGATCTATTAAGCATTTCTCCTTAATCTTCCTGAAACATATAAATAATCCTCAACAGGGCATTCCATAGAGCAAATTTGTACTCCTCTCTATGATCGTCGATCTGTTGGGTTGTAGTCATAATGTAGCCCCCTCTTAGAAGTCCTCTTGGAGAAGTAACGAATGTGTACCTCAAAAGGTTGTCAACCATGTTGGACAAAGCCACCAGTTGTTCGGAAAAGCATTATACAAGATCATGTAATTGGTGGTCACCTTCCCAATATCTCCTTTTTGCCTCATGTGAAAGTTGGTTCGGCCAGTGCATGAACCATAGGAATGGCAACCAAATGCAGGTTGGTGGTGAATAGCCAACAGCAAACTCAGCCTCCTGGCTCCTTTTTATGGTATTTCATAGCTCCGAGATAATTGTTGTCTACATTGTGAGTTGCCAATAAGCTCCAAGGATAGAGTAAGAGAGTGCTCCTGTCACATGATAGGCTGGAATCTCTAGCTTCACAACAAAACTATCATAACTATTGTTGAAGTGTCATCCCGCCATCCTATATGAGATGCATCTCTGGCTCGAGTCCCTTGTTGGGGGTTAATTGGTATATATCCTGGAAATCTCTCGTGAGCACGTCGTTTCTCTATCCTCTGATGCTGAATAGTGACAAGAGACCAATATTATCAAGTCTATTTCTCATGGCTACTCCCCATCCTTGGTACAGGTCGAAGTCTGGTCAGTTATCTCTCCTTGGGGGTCAACTAGTATGTACCACTTCTTAGCACTAGAACTTCCATGGGGAAACTGGAGGAAAGTATGCAAGGGCGCCTTTGGTGTATTCTCTCTTATCTCCAACTCGTTGTTAGTCTCAAACACCTCGGCTCTTGGTGGCAGCCGTCCACTCCTGATTCTTGACCTCCTACTATCAAGTGATATAGCCTTTCACTGTTATTGCTAAAGGAGATCCAAACGAACTGACATTGAGAACTCGAGTTCCTTGAATCCTCCTCCTCTTCTTTCTCGATCACTGACTCCCTTCTGTTGAGTAGTCTAGACCGTCGAGGTGTTGCATACTCTGGGCTCCACTCATGGTGGACTAGGATGTCATGGCCCTCGTGAAGAAGAAACACCACCATCTACCTTTCTCTTGTGCTTATTAAGCCATCCAATTACGTGATTCTTCATTAATCTGCTCAATAGAAAAGCAACAAAGTTAGTATAATAAATAGGGAATAACCACACACTTTAAGATAGAGTGGTTTGGATTTGGTATTTGCAATTTGGATTTTTAAATGTCAAATCATGTGTTTGAATATTAATTACATTTAGTATTTAGATTTGTGCCAAATTCATGGGGTAATTTCCAAATACATGTCTAGTGTATTACTTATCAACTTCAAAATTCAAATACATTTCAACACCTAGTGATTTGAAATACCTCCTAACAAAAGATTGGACCAATTTGTAAAATATTAAAAGTTTAGGTACTATAGTGTGAGGGAAAACATATAAAGCTACCAAAATGTAATTTTACCATCAAAATTTCTGTAATTTACCAAAATTGTAAAAGTTTAGGTACTAAATTGTAAGAAAAAAATAAAGTTAGGTACCAAACTATAATTTACGAAAAATTGTAGTAAGTGACCAGAAAATTCAAAATGAGAATAAAAAATTATAAAATTTAATTTACAAACAAATTACACATGAGCATCCAAACAAGGAATTTGAATTACATTTATTTCAAATGAATGTATTTCAAATGAATGCATTTTAAATACTAGTATTTCAAATACATTACATTTAAAATACACCTATCAAAACGCACCTTAAGGCAATAAGCCATCGACCTGGATAAGCAAAATTTGCGGCACAATCCAATACTCATTTCGAACAGGACAAAGAAAAAGCTTAATGCGCAAATCCGTCATCATCTTCATCACCCGCCGCATGGACAACCGACGCCTCCTATGGCGGGAGTGGGAGCGGATGTCGTCTGTGGCCGAGTAGTGCTAGGGGTGGGCGTTGATGCGGTTTGGTCTCCACCGCACCGTATTAATATGAACCGCACCGCATGCTAATTAGATCGCACCACATGTTGGACCACAATGTAAATGAAGCTGTCAAACCGAACCGCATAAACTAGCAATTTGGTGCGGTTGATACCGCATCACATATTTGACCGCAAATTATTATAGGTGATAGATAACAAAAAGCTAAATCAATCTTCACTCACCAACTAGGAACCTTTCACTTTACTGGCCAGACCATAAGAGAACGAACAATTAGGCCAAAAAACGAATAATTAATTAGTTAGATCTTTTTTCGAAAGAGTTGAGGCGGCGTAAGGAAAGAAGAGGTCCTCGCAAAAGAGAAGGAAGAACTTCGGGTTGCCTTGGAACAGAAAAATACGCTCGATAGACAAATGGCTGTTTATGATCAAATGGTGAAAGATCTGGAGCCTGGAGTAGAAGATTACCTCCGCCGTGGAACTTATGAAATATCAAAAGCTAGAATGAGACAAATTGCAGATGGAGCATGGTAAAGTGACAAGGGAGGCAGAGGAGCTGAAGAAAAGCAGAGCATAGCAGGCTTTAACTTCAACAGAACCCATGACCCAATCATCATTGGTGTTCACTGAATTGGAGATCGAAGAAGCCACCGACAAATTTGTTGAATCGACCAAGATAGGAGGGGAAGATGGGAGTCGCTGTCTTCTTTCGGTGATAAATGGAGAGCTTTGAGAGAATAGAAGCGGCGGCAGCAGCAGCGAAAGGAGAAGAAACAGAGTACTAACATGAAAATAGAGTGTGTTGGCAATCATCAATTTCAAGAGAAAATAAGGGACCATAATTTTCAATTGAGAAGAAGAAGAATAAGAAGTGACTTAGAAGCTCTGGTGAGTAAAGCTTGTTTCTGTTTTTAATGGCGAATTCTCTCTTTTTTTTTTTTACCACAGATGGTTTTCTATATATCTTTTTACCACATGTAAGTAGCCCTCTCCTAAGCTGAGCAATATAATCATTTACTAGGCTGCAAATTATTTACGGTTTGAAGTTTTCAACCGGAACCGTGTGGTTTTTGGATTAATCCGACCACAAATCGTGAGTTGCTAAAAATTCAGACCGCATGTTAGACCGCAACTCTTGCAGTACGATTTGGCTTCATCTTAAAAGCGATTCGGTGCGGTTTGGTGGTTTTTGGATTAATCCGACCACAAATCGTGAGCCGCTAAAAATTCAGACCGTATGTTAGACTGCAACTCTTGCGGTACGATTTGGCTTCATCTTAAAAGCGATTCGGTGCGGTTTGGAGCAGTTTGACTGCACCAATGCCCACCTCTAAGTAGTGCTGATCAGAAGAAGAAGTAGACATGGATCTTCTGGGAAAGAAATCGAGGCTTGGATCGACGATTGTGTAAGGAGTAAAGATTGTTGGGAGGACTGCTCTGTTTTGGTGGCAGGGAAACAGAGTCAATATTATTTAATTACGTACAAACCAAAATGAATTGCGGTCAAAATGTCGTGCGGTCTAAAATCGTACCAAACCGTTAACTCATGCGATTTGGTTGCCCCGCACCAATAATTTTGCGATCGAACATGCAGTGCGGTCCGATTATGATGTGGTGCAGTGCGATGCGGTCCTAACCGCATAGATGTCCACCCCTACCTCATTTTAACCTCCACTCCATTCCATTCCACCACATTAACATGTTATTATAAATGTTCACATGACTATGTGATTTATCGGTTATATTGCACATACGAAGATGTAGTCTTGACAATTGCGATGATGTCCTTTATCGTAATTTTTTTGAAATGATTGCTTAATATAGTAGAATATTGGATCAATAAATTAAACTAACTCAATAATTTTCGCAGGAAAAAACTATTGAAATTTGTTTAGAACGGAAAAGAAAAGAAGAACACCAAGTCCTTGCTGAAAATTTCCTGCTTGACAATATTTGAGGAGAAAAAACACTAATCCAGAAACAACTTTGTTTTTCTTTGTTTTTTTGTAATTCCCCCCCCTCCCCCCCCCCCCCCCCCCCCCCCCCCCCCCCCCCCCCCCCCCCGCAAAATCAACGCGGTTGAAATGAGTAACTGACCAATGAAGGTAAAAAAAAAAAATACATAAAAAGAAATGTAGTTAATCTTTACTTTACTTCCCAAAAGTATCCATCCATAGATTTTCTTTCTCGATAAATCCGGGATATCTGTTCAAAAAATAAAAATGAAAATGAAATTAATCAATTATCCAGTGATTGGACATCCGGGGGGAACAGTCGTCAGTCGTCACAGTGCAAACTTTTTCTCCCCTTTTATTCCCCTTTCGGACTTCTCCTTTAATTTCACTGGACCAAACTATTTCTCTCCACTCCACAGGAACAAAAAAAAAAAAAAAAAAAACAAAAATCATCAGAGCCCTCCGTCCGTTTCCCTGCACAGAGTCTCGGCACTAGTGGAAGACGGCTGTCTCCATCGTCTCTGCTACGCTCTCCGCCATTGTTTGCACCTCATCAGGTAAATTAACCATCTGGAGCGTTTGCTCTTCTATCCCGTCTTCTACGCCTTCAATTTTGACAGAATCTGAAATCGCTCCCCTTAATCTCATAGAAAAGTGATGGAGTTGGAATCGAACACGACGGGCCGTGGCGGAGGAGGAGGACGAGGGATGAGCAAATCGACGAAGAAGGTCCTCCTGATAGTGAACTGCATTCTCCTCTCCCTCGGGAGCGCGTGCGGCCCGCTCGTCCTCCGCCTCTACTTCCTCAAAGGCGGCAAAGGGGTATGGATCTCCGCGGGCCTAGAAACCGCGGGCTGGCCGTTCGTCCTCGTGGCCCTCCTGGCCTCCTACCTCTACCGCCGCCGCGCCAACGGGCCTGGGCCCGAGCCCACCAAGGTCTCCTTCATAACCTGGCGCCTCTTCCTCGCGTCCGCCGTGCTGGGCCTCCTGACGGGCCTGGACGACTACCTCTACGCCTCGGGCGTGTCGTACCTGCCCGTGTCCACGTCGTCGCTAATCATCGCCTCCCAGCTGGCGTTCACGGCCGTGTTCGCGTTCCTGCTGGTGAAGCAAAAGTTCACGGCCTTCTCCGTCAACGCCGTGTTCCTGCTCTGCCTCGGGGCAGGGGTGCTGGCGATGCACGCCAGCGGGGACAAGCCGGCCAATGAGACCAAGGGTCAGTACTTTTTGGGGTTTTTCATGACCGTGGGCGCCGCCGTGCTCTACGGGTTCGTCCTCCCCGCCATCGAGCTCACCTACAGCAAGGCACGGCAGAACGTTACTTATACTCTTGTGATGGAGATGCAGATGGTCATGTCCCTTTTCGCCACGCTCTTCAACGTCGTCGGCATGATCTTCCACCACGAGATCCAGGTCTCTCTTTATATCCATCTCTATCTCTCTCCAATTGATCCTCTCCTTTTTTTTCCCCCATTTTTTTATTCCGTTTTTTTCTTTCTTGCTACCTATGCATCTAGATGAATACCCTATTGGTATATATTATATTATATTATATCATATACTATGCTGGCAAAGGCTAGCGTACGTCAGGCGTATAATCATATACTATGCATCTAGATGAATACCCTATTGGTATATATTATATTATATTATATCATATACTATGCTGGCAAAGGCTAGCGTACGTCAGGCGTATAATATACAACAGGTGATCTAGCCATTAGATGTACTTAGATGAGCTCCGGCCGATCTCAACGATTAATTTTTGTTTTTCATTAAATCAAATTTCGGGTTGGAGTTTAGAAAATCGGTGTCTGGGGTTTATCCATTAGAGGTTAGGGTATAGTATCGTACCCCAAACTTGATTTAATTCATGGTCTAAATAAAGATATTTCATTAGTAATACCTGACGTATAGTATACGCCTGACGTACGCCAGTCTGACCCATATACTATATATATATAGTTATATATTTCCATATTCAATGCAATCACGTTTTTATACACTTTCTCTATGGTAGTGATTTCGAGTATACTAAGTATCTTAAATGTTGGTTAAGGTTAGGTGCATATATAATGTATGTTTATGGTGAATGAAAGGTAAAAACCATTCATTCAATATAACGCACATTAGGTCATTAATTAAGTTGGATATTTGTCTAGTTTGGAACAAGATTTCGGGCTATTTGGTTAATTTGGTTTTGTATGTATATACACGCATTGCTTAATTTATAAAAAAAAAGTTCAAATATGAATGTGGCGAATAGATTTTGGGCAAATCGTTAAAATAGTGATGATGATGGGGGTTCTTGCAGACAATGCCGAAAGAAGCAAGCGAGTTCGAGTTGGGAAAAGTGGGATATTGCATGGTGCTGATAGCAACGGCGCTGGTGTGGCAATGCTTCTTCGTGGGAGCTGTCGGGGTGGTGTCATGTGGCTCTTCTCTGCTCTCCGGGGTGCTCATCGCGACCTTCTTGCCGGTCACTGAGATTTTGGCGGTCTTCATCTATCACGAGCCCTTTGGGGCCGAGAAAGCCATTGCTCTCGTCCTCTCGATTTGGGGTTTCATCTCTTACTTCTATGGCGAGTACAAACACACCAAAAAATCAACGCATACCGCGGAATGACGATCGATCATCTCTCTTTTTTCTGTAGCTTCAATTCGTCCATATATGGGCATTAGAGTTATAGCTTGTCTAGTAGACAGCTTCTTCTGCCTCCTAATCTTGTTCCAGGGAACTAAAGGCAATTATTAATTTAGCCTTTATTACCCATAATCTCGCCATGAAGATTTTGAGTTGTTGATTTAGGAGTCTTGAAAATTTTGAACCATTGATCCCTTTTCTTTTTTTTTTTCTCGGTAAGGTAATTATCAATTTGCATTGGAACTTATCACCATGGCCAAATATATCCAAGCATTGAATAGATACAGGTCATATAGCCCACGAGTCACAACAATATAAAGCAAATCCACAGGAAGAAAAAAAAAAGATAACTACAAAGAGTCTAAACTAAGTAATGAAATCAAAATAAGGCAGACTGTGATTCCCTACTGCAATAGGAGAGGCTAATTTAGGATACAATGTACGTACTAGACTTAACACCATTAGCAACCATAATAAATCCTTTAAGTAATGAATGACTGCCATAACATCTCAGGTGATGAGTGCTTAAGGGGCGATCATTGATGGAACGAATCGGGTCAGTAACCTTATGATTAGTAACCATGAGTAATCTGTCCACGTCAGCATGACATCAGTATCCTCTCTCTCATGGAAAGTCTTTTATTTATTCCCCTTTAATCTTTAACGGGCAATTTCTCACTCGTTTTAAGCCGAAATTTAATTTTTTTGCACAGATAAATCAAATTAAATGTGCTCTTTAAAATGATATCCACTTAGATATATTTTTAGTAAAAAAAAAAAATTGAATAATTTTTTACTAGTCATTATACCATATGGTAAGAAAGCGTACCATGATGGTATGAACATACCAATATGGTAAGAATGTTGAATACATGATAATAGGAGTATAATAACTGTCATTTACGACTTTCATCATTGTTTACTACAAGTTACCACCCACATACCATATTGGTAAAGTATGGTAATTTTTTATCTAGTATTTTTTTCACCCAGAAATTTATAGATCCAATAGATCATGATGAACTCGTTCCTTATGAGCAAACGTTTTAAAAAATGACTTAAATATGAAGAAGTTACCATATGATATGTAGTTAGTAAAAAAAAGTTTCTCGACATATATTGAAAATTGATCTCATTTTGTAGAGCACAACGAACTCGTTCCATCTATGCAAAAAAATTGAAATCCGAGTTAGAACGAAGAAGATAAGAGCCGATTAAGAAAACTAGGGAAAATAAAATGTCTTAATTGACAACCTTTAGATCTGAATTTTCTGAACCCACTTAGATCTAAAGGTCAACATTTAGTTATTCATAGGTCAGTAAAGTTAGTAACCAATGGTTACTGACCCTATCTTAAGCCAATCCACAGGAAGAAAAAAGATAACTACAAAGAGTCTAAACTAAGTAATGAAATCAAAATAAGGCAGACTTTGATTCCCTACTGCAATAGGAGAGGCTAATTTAGGATATAATGTACGTACTAGACTTAACAACATTAGCAACCATAATAAATCCTTTAAGTAAGGGAAGGGCACTTGGAGTAATTGGCGGTGTCAGAGAACACTCACTCACGCGAATAAACTTCCAAAACCGCACCAAGAACGTTCTTCGCCTTCACATGACCACCCACCCTCATTTTGCTGCACAATTGGAGAGTTTTGCGCCACAGTTTCAAGCTAGGAATTTTCCCAAAGTTTCACCTCTTTCGCCGCTGAAGTGGTTGTAGAGCAACTGTCTAAATTAGCTGTCGAGTGATAATGGGCCACGGTTGAGAGGCCCACCTTTTTACATATGTGTTGGGGCCAATACTATTAAAAGTTCTTTGGTGGCTGACTACTGTGCCCAACGAATCCGAAGGCTCATGGTATTGTGATTGGTTTGCACTTTGAGGAACTCGGACAATGATTATCCGCAAAACTTAGCTTCTTCTGATCAGAGCGACACACAGCAGAAAAGGATAAAGAAGAGGAATTGAGTATCACCAGCTGAAGTTGTGTCTGAAACTCAGGGCGACTCTCTTCTTCTGTCACTCAGGGCTGTCTAGTACTGTGACGACGGAGCATTTCGACGGAGACACGGCCGGTCGGGATGAGGTATTCGTTCATTTTTTTTTATACGGAATAAATGTAGGGGAGGAATTGGAAACAACAAAGGATTTTAGTGGAGGCGTTGGATAGACACGGGAGATTGTACGAAGAAGTCGCCATAAGTGTTTTGGACAGTCTTTTTTTTTTTTTTTTTTTTTTTTTACGATAAACCTGCTAGATTCTTATTAACCAGATTGTGCCATTACAATATCAAGCTGCAGCTGGCTAATCAAACTTTGCGGTGGAAAGTCCACCCAAATGCTAGCGTCATTAGGACACACAGTGAGCTGCGCCATCTGGTGAGCTGCTTCATTCGCATACCTTCGGATATGTCTCAGTGATCCTTGTCCAGTCTCCTGTAAAAGCCTTCGAATGCTTCGACACACCGTCCCAATCTCAGTCTGAATCTCCTCCGCCGCCTGAACCTTCTGAACCAGTGGTAAACAGTCCGTCTCCAGGATTGGTTTCGGGACCTGGAATTGCTTCGCCAACATCAGCCCAAATTCCACCGCCAAGGCCTCTCCCATTTCAACCTCATATTCCCCCTCCAGTCGCTTCACAGCAGCCAACGTGAACTTGCCCTGTTCTCCCCTGACCACCACACCCAGATTCACTCCCCCAGCTACTCCAAATCCGGCATCAGTATTGATTTTGTATTCCCCCAGTGTTGGAGGCTCCCACCCTTTCTCCACTCGGGCTTCAGTCTCCTCCCTCCTCTTTGCCTGGTTCGCTTTGTAGTCCTGGAGATAGTACTTAGCTCGTGTGACGATTTCCTCCTCCGCCAACTTTTGTCCATTAAACAGCTGTGCGTTCCTCTCTCTCCATAGATACCACAGAAGCACACTCCAATTCTCTAATGTCTCTTCATCAAACTTCTCCAAAACTTGCTTGAACCAGCTATAACAGTCTTGCGCCGGTTGGTAATCGAAGCAGGCCGCCACTTCCGACGTTCTCCAGATCCGGCACGTCCATTGACACTCGCCAAACAAATGCATCTGTGTTTCTCGGAGGTCGCAGAACGGACACTTGTCCCCACGACGTTGGCTCTTCTCGCTAATGTGGTCTCCCGTCGGAAGTACCTCTCTTACAAATTTCCACAGAAAGTGCTTTATCTTTGGAGCAATATTCAAATTCCAGATCTTCTTCCATACTGCTTCTTCCCCAAACCCACTAACTCCATTCTCTTCTTTGAATTTTTCCAACCAGGCTCTATAACCTTCCCGGACGGAGTAAGCTCCATTTTTGCTCGCACTCCATATCAAGCGATCAGGTTCATGAATGCCTCGGAGTGGGATTTGTAGGATATTCCTAACAAGATCGTTCGGGAAACAATTTTCCAGTAGAGTAGGGTCCCATTGCTCAGTCACCGGATCAATGAGTGCACTGACGCGAGAGTCAACCGGCAGACCTCGCGGTGCTGACGACACAAACATCTCAGGGCTGTTCGGGATCCACTTATCCCCCCAGATACACACCGCATCTCCGTTTCCTATCCGCCATCTCAATCCACTATTCAGGAACTCCACCGCCGACATCAGACTGCGCCACATGTAGCTGGGGTTAAAGCCCACCCTTGCGTCCAAAATGGATACATGTTTATGGTACTTGGCTCTGAGAATGGTAGCAATGAGTGAGTTCGGCCGTTGATAAAGATTCCAAAGCTGCTTTGCTAATAGCGCCGTGTTGAATCCCTTCAAGTCGCGAAACCCCATCCCGCCCTCCATCTTCGAACACACCATTTCTTCCCTACGTATCCAGCTTATCCGCCTCTCGGTCCCTTTCTGTCCCCACCAAAAGGCCATGATCATTCCGTGTACTTCATCCAACACTCCTTCCGGCACCTTGAACACCGTCATTGCGTAAGACAACTGTGCCTGAACAACCGACTTAATGAGCACTTCCCTAGCTGCAACCGACATCACCCTCTCCTTCCATCCCTTCAGTTTCTTTCTTATGCGGTCAACAATTCCTATGAACAATTCCTTCTTTGATCGTCCGGCTACCGTCGCGAGCCCGAGATATTTTTCATGTTTGGCAACAATTGGCATGCCCAGAGTACCACTGACCAGGAGCCTGTGATGGGCCGAAACATTATCACTGAATGATACCCCTGATTTTGGCAAGCTTACCAACTGTCCCGATTCCCTTTCGTAGTCCGACAAAATTCTCTTCAATGTCTCACTCTCCTGTTGCGTCGCCCGGGCAAAGAAGATGCTATCATCAGCAAAAAATAGATGGGAGATAACTGGCGCCCCCGGTGCCAGCGACAAACCATGCAGCTTCTTATCTTGGATCGCCTTTTCGGTATATGCCGAGAGACCTTCTGCACATAGTAGGAACAAGTATGGCGACAACGGGTCCCCTTGCCTAATTCCGCGCCCCGGTTTAAAGCTCTGCGACTTGTGACCATTCACTAAAATGGAGTACGACACCGTTTCCACACACAACATCACTCATCGAATCCATTGTTCTGCAAATCCCATCTTTCGCATCACGCCTTCCAAGAAGTACCACTCGACCCTGTCATAGGCTTTTGCCATGTCTATTTTTGCCGCAAAGTAACCCACCTTTGCTTTCTTTTTCTTCTTCATCGTGTGAAAACATTCAAATGCAGCCATCACATTGTCCGTAATGTATCTTCCAGGCACGAACGCACTCTGTGCTGGTGATATCACTTTGTCCAACAGTCCCTTCAGCCTGTTCGCCAGCACTTTCGAAGCCATCTTGTACAGGACGTTGCATAGACTTATCGGTCGGAATTCCACCGGAGAGGTAGGACTCTTTACCTTCGGAATTAGTACGATAACTGTGTGGTTAAGCCCCTGCGGCATCACCCCTTCTTCAATGATCCCCCGTACTGTGCTCACCACATCCTCCCCCACCGTCCCCCAGTATTTTCGGAAGAACAGCACCGATAGGCCATCATCACCAGGAGCCTTTCTTGCTCCCATCTGCTTCAGTGCTTGCCAAACTTCTTCACTTGTCACCGGCTTTATCAGTTCTGCATTATCCTCTTCGCCGATCGACTGGGGAATCGAGTCAAGCACGGGCGTCACTTCCGGCGCCTGCCCTGCACAAAATAAAGAGCCAAAATAATCCAGTAGGCAGTTAGAAACTTGCTCAGTACCAAGGTGCCACCGTCCC